GAGTTTTACGACAAGTCGGCGCTTTGCGACAATATGAGTCGGCAAGTTCCGAACAGAAACCGATCTGTGGAGACTCGTCATCAAAGATTTTTTTTTTTTTTTTTTGAGAACAGACGAAAACTAATGCGCGCGCGGATGTCATCCATAAAATTAAATCGGTGTAGCCTAATTGCTACATTGTAGAGCTCCAGTCAAGATAAAATTTGCGATGATCTAGCTATTCGACAGTGTTCAAACATCCAAGAATGTTTCACATAACAATTCATGCATACACATCCAGCATTTCAAATATTCAACAAAAAGAAGAAAAGAGAAGAGTTGCTTAGAAAATAAATCAAATTCCAATAAATGGACACCATCATAACCATTTTAATTGAATTTACAGTGAAGCATTATGAAAGCTACTACTATAAATGAGATCTTTGAGAGTTGGTGTTCCTTGTTGCCAATCTGGCATAGCTGTCAAGGTCTATGCAACACTCTTGAAAAATAATGACACAATATAGGAATCTAACACAGGTGGTAACAGGGTGGAAATGAAGAACAGACAGAACTCAATAGATCAATTATAACCAACAACCATCTTAATGTGCACCTAAGAGCACCTTTGGCCCTGGAATCATCACTTGTCAAAGAGACCAAGCCCACATCTTTGTACTGTTCTGACAAGTAACGGTAACGGGGAATGAAACCCTTAGCTGTATTGAGCAAATGCTTTGAATGTGAATTCATAGAGTCTGTAGAGTACGCCGGATGTTTTTTTCAATACCCTACTCAATTAAAGCAGCAAGTTTGACCAATACACGTCCTATCCTCCATAACACTGCAGCACGTCTTTCATGGCCTCTTTACATTTCCTCACTAGATTGTTGACATAGAACACAGAGCTAGATGGCCAGTTTGCATTTCATATACTTAAAATAAACCCCCACCCCAATGGAACCAGCAAGACTAAAGACTACAAAGATTCTTGAAATTAAAAGACGCCTCCTATCATAAGTTTACAATGTTTCTTTAATGTATACAGCAGCCTGGCCCCAGGGGTCTCTCGTATACAAAACAGCGATGTAGAAGTCCTATTCCTTTCTGGACATTATCATTTATTAGCACAAATACTTTGAATAAAAATATACAAATATAGAAATTTTTAGTCTGATCAGAAAATAGATATTGAATATGCATCTCCTAATCTTCTCCCACACAAAGCACAGAGCAGTTTAGTAGCAAGATTTTATTCATGAATTTACGATAAATGAGATGAAATTCCACACAGAAAGAAACTTGAATATTTACAGTGCTCAAATTACAGAACATGTCCTGGGTAACCATCCAGGTGGCAAAGTTTTCTGAAGAATTTATGGGACAATCACAGGACACTTAATCAACTGCTGAATATTAACTGCAGATGTCAAGTTTTTTAAACATAAATTACAACAGACAGAAGAGGTAGGATTACCATAGTTAATCACAAAATTCAATCCCATTGTCAGAGACAACATGATTTATTAATGGTGTATATCAATTGAAGATTATTATCTACTAGGACAATTTAATGTGGAGGACAATGTCTCCCTCTCCATTTTTACCAAACTGGGAGTCCCTATAATGGATTCATCACCCACCAGTCAATTGAACTGGATTCCTGCTGTAGTGCCTGGGGTATGCCCTAGGATTATAGCATTGTGAACATAAATAAATACAAACGTGGCAGGGCTTTATAGACATGGACACAATACTGAGCATATCCCCATACTTATCACCCATAAATAACAAAGTAGCAGACCATATCCAAGGAATTACACACACACAAGTACTTAAAGACCACAGACGCCAGTACTTTCAACAACCAAATCAAACAAAAAGTACATTACAACCAGCTGTGTCTGCTACACACACACACACACACACACATGTACAACATCAATTTTAAGAGTTCTGACAGGGTCTGGTATCCCACATTGATCAATTGCTGTCTAACCAATACAGCATCTATTCAGTGTAGCAACATGTGGTGAATGGATTTCTATTAATGATAACTACAATCAACCAGTGCACAACATATCACAAACTTATTTATGCCAGCAATTAAAATTTATCAAGTACATTGTATACATACATAAAGCATTATATTGTCAATTTAAACAAAACTGATCAGACTTGACATCCACTAAAGTGCTATACAGAGTCTATCTAGTAAATTCAATGTACGACTAAAACACATTGACCATTAGATTTTAGAATGCTTGACAATAAAAGGAACACGTCTCAAACTGATCATTCTGACTTGGGTATACTGTAAGTTGGGCTCCTCAGAGCCCAGGGGAAAGTTTGCGAAAAATAAAGATTACAGAAATCAAAGTTAGGACTTCTTTTAAGCCTGGAGACCAAATGTTTTGGAGAATTGTAAGTAGACTAAACTTTCACTGAACTATCTAAGCTAATTTGCATATCACAGCTAATTTGCATATCACAGCTAATTTGCTTATCAATGTTATAAATAATTAGCATAATATTAACAATTATTGTTTTCTTCATTATGCATTTCTCCTGGTTATAAAAAATTGAGGATAATATAATCAATTTTGAAATCCACCACTGTTGACATGATGGTAAACAAAATTCCATTTAAATCGTGTCCTACTTGCTGATACTTAACATTTTTATCTCAAGTACCGTTGAGTATTCTTGTAAAAATGCAATGCATCACTTTATAAACTACAGCAGTGTCACAAGTACTCATATTTTATACATAAAATCTATCATCTCGTTACCATGGTTTTTGTGTAGAAATTGTACTCTTTTTGACAGGATAACTTTATGTATTTATATATGTGGCTAACGTAAAAATGAAATAAAATATAAAAAAAAAATCTATTGTCATAGTTAGGTAGAGGAGGGTACCAATTATATGCTGACAAACCTCACTCTCTCCCCAGGGTGTGGATAAAGTTTAGTGATATTTATTACTTGTAATGAAACACATTGACCAGATTAGTTTTGATTTTGCCAAGTAAGTCCCTCACAGGATGTATCTGCAAAGACTAGACCAAGCGGGGAACAAATTTGGGATTGTAACGCGAATGATACAAATGCCAAAGCTAAGGCTCTACAATGTTTGATGCAACATGCATGGTCTGTACCCTCTAGGAAATATACGATGTTGGGTCAGATCATAATCCGTGCCAAAAGTCTTCAAGCACATGCACATACACACTTACATAAAGGCAGGTGCCGTAACCACTTGGCAGTTACTTGACCATACATTTATACCATTTTGAAATTGTTCTAATCTATTCTCGCTCTACGCCAAAGACAAACATGCTAATCAAATGAATGCTTGTCATCAAGGTAAAATATTCTATGTAAAGATATTCGGGTGATGACTCACGTAATCTCTAATTTGACTACCGGTAGGTACAAGAAACTCTGTTCTTTTGTTGAACATGGCTCATTGTACGCACGAAGATCAAAGGCATTGTTCGATGATTACATTGTGACACTCGCCCACACGTTTGTACTAATGCTACGCTAATTCTGCCAAGGAAAAACGTCTCAGATGTAAAAGTTGCAATTATTTTGGCCTTCCTTATAACTTTTCAAATCACTGGCTTCATTTAAGGGAATAATAGACCTGGAAGAAAAATGAAGTGGGCTATATTTTTGACTCACCGTTTGCGTTACGTCCACAGATGAGGTGCTCGCAAGTCTGTGAAATTCCCCATAGATCAGGATCATTAGAGATGCCGAAATCCAACATTTCCACAGTCAGTTCTTCATCAAGTTCATCAATATTCCCATGGAATGCCCGAAAAAACATTTCTTCGGCTAGGCCCTCCATACACGCTGTGAGATAAACAGCAGCATGATCATTCACGCGAGATGAGACATGAGTATCCACAAGCCATCGATGAAATTTACCAACAGGAAATATCAGTCCTGAACGAGTTTTCTTTCCAATGCGAAAGTGATCAGGGTTCATTTGAAAGTTTGACAATGCTTTGACAGATGCCGCTAAGCAACTTTCCGCTAATGATCGGGAAAGGATAAGTTTGATCGCAGTATGAATTTCATGCTTTGTACATTTTCCATAGGTACTACACAAACGCTGTGTCTCTCGAGCGATTCGTACAAGTGGCCTTTGTAACAGGTAGGAAATTCTTTGTACAACAACATATGGTACTTTCCGACTTAATTGTCTGGACTTCGAACCAGATTGTAAAACGTTCTTCACATGGACATCGGTCCAAGGAGTTTTTTCTAATTCTACAATTTTATAGTACTTGTCAATAAACTCCATTTCATCTGGAATACTAGTGTTTAGAGTATCAAAACTTCCATGTCGACTGTGTTCCCATTCCAATGGCGCAAGATGTGGAGAGTTCTCACGAGTTGATTTTGACGAGTAATGGCTATTGAAGCTAGCTCCGCTACTACCTCCAGAATGTGAATTTGTATCCATGGTGAGAGTCTCAAAAGCTCCAGTTATACTGTGAAAACAAGACATCTCAAAATGTTATCTTCCCCGGCAACAGTTATACATCTCCTCCTAGCATCTTTGATCTTTTTACAGTTGCTCAGCAACAAACCGCACCTGAAAAAGATGTAGAATGAAGTTATTCAGCTTGTGACATTGAAATGGTTAGTCCAGTGGTGCACAAAATAAACAAGTGAATTCCACCATAAAGAAAGCTGCATCTAGTAAACAAGACTAATTAAACGCTGACAAATGCGGGAAAAACGATGAAATTATACAAAATTAATAATGAAACTTGGCAAAGTCAATGAATAGGAAGGAAGTTTTAAAAGAATTTGTTATTCAAAACCATTCAACTTGGCTGGAATAAACAGCAGTTTCTCATTTGCTGGAACTCTGGGTAGCATAAAACTAAAGATATTTGTATACCGGTACATGTATATAAAATATTCTGTGATTGAGTGATGCTTGTAAATTGACAATGCTACAAACCAATAAGAGTTCAGTACATTTTTTTGGACAACAGGCCCATTAGCATTAGAGGGCTATGGTTATTGCATAGTGTTCAATGTGGGACTCGCAGCGATGTATAAAACATGTTTAAAATACATTGTTTACATGAAATTTGAACACGTGCTGAACAACAACATGAAGATGAATTGTCTTCATACATGTATTGAAACAATACATCAATAATTTTGGATTCTTCTATAAAACCTTACAAATTCTTTAGATCCAATAATGACATCATGATAGGTTTCAATTTTACTGGTTTAAATATACAATCAGTGGAGAAGTATAAATATATTAGAAATTAGTGTTCCCTGACAACATTGGGCTCTGCGGAACATACTTTAGACAAATGTAAATTCAATTACATTAAAAATTTGTAGTGTTCTTATTAAGACAATAACATTGTAAAGAGCCAATTGGTGAAATCGAGAAAATTAGAAACCACCCAGAGACAGGAAAACAATAGTTGAAACATCCAAGGTATAAACACCAGCCAAATAATCACAGTCACTAACAGCAGGTATTCCAGCTAGACCTACATCATCGAATAAACAATAGAAGTACAGAAGGAGGGGGAAGAGATCCGACGATCCCGGCCAAAAGAAGGGCGGAAGATACAAGGGATATGTGAAAACATTGTCTGAATAGAGAAGAAGAGAATAACAAAGGTCTTGCACAGTATTTAGACAGTTACACCTAACACTTACAGATACCCCTAAGGGAGTGTGGTATGTCGGCTAACGCAGGTGATCAATTGTACAACCTATACCTGTGGTGAGATGGGAAAAATTCCAATGTAACCTGGTAGTTGGACAATTGACCTATTATTACAGCTTGCTATTACCTTTTTAGTAAGTCTGTGGGTAGCCAGCCAGTTAAGGAGTTCAAGACAGAGGTCAAGTTTTACATGATGAGGGGGAAACTCAACTCTGCATGATTACAGCGATGACTGCTGCATTGCAAAAAAAAAATAGCAAACACAACAGAAAATAAAACCGTTTAGAAATATGTATCTCGAATGTTTAAAACAAATGCACGAGGTAGACGAATTGTTGATTGTGACACATCATACAATTGATGACATTTTTTATGGCTCTTTCAAGCTGTTGGTATACTTCCATATGGCAACATTTAATTATCTCCAAAAAGAAAGGTCAACAACACCTAATGATTACAAAACATTGTTCTGAAACTGTCTGTAAATTGATTTGCCTAATTATTCATCGTTTTACGACCCTACACCAGTTGGCAAATTGACCTGCATGATCCCTACAATGGTTCGCCACTTTTACTATATTGGTGTTTATAATAATAGTTTTCCACAAATTATGCAATAAAACTCATTAATCATGCAGATTTATACTTTTTTTCTGATTCCTGACATGTTAAAATTAGAAGTACAAGAATGAGTAATAATTGGCTTCAGATGATCAAAATGTTTAATTTGAAACCGTTTAATATATCCTATTTCAGCAGTTCTCAAGTATGCATATTGTCTACTCTACCTAATGTAGTGCTGAACATGGGGCAGCGTGGGAGTCATCAGGATCGGTTCCCTTTGCAATGCCACCTCTGAGTCGTGAGTTAAAAATATATTATGCTGTGCGTTAAATTTGCTACAAAACACCAACTTTAAGTTAGTAATGTTCTGACTGTCATTATCAATGGTGGAGTTTTTTTCTCAACAAATAAATTAACGCTAGTCGCTGGATGATTCAAAAACATCTTAGCCATGCCTACCAAAACCACCGTCCCTCAACCGGTGTCAAAAACAATAGAATATAGAGTTAACGAACAGGCAAATCAGGGAAACAAGCAAAAACCCCGTGAAAATTGTCAAGCACTGAATATCAAAGCGTCAAAACTATAGTTGAAATCGAAAGCATTTTGAGAAAATTAAAAGAAAGACGCCCCCAAATGTAGCCCACACACTTCTATTTACTAGTATTCGAGAAGTCATGGTAAAATGCAACTGATAAAAAAGGGGGACAAAACAACAGTCATGAACAAAAACGGAAAATTACAATACGCAGTGATGAAGACTAGTGAGTAATAGAAAATTCACGGGATTCAGCGGTGCGTATGTGTTTTGGAATTCTGGCGGAAATGCCAATGAAGACAAGAAACAATGAAGTTGATTATTCGCTACTTGACTCAAGCACGCCGGTAAAATTGGGAAGTTCCACGTCGCGATATCAATATTAAGTCCGCGCACATTATTTCAATAGTGTCCATGCAAGCACGGTGCTGGGTCAATGAAATCATTGTAATTTTTAACATTGTACGTGTTGTAATGACATTTGTCGGTGTCACGGTATATATTAGAATCAAGAAAGATTTGTGAAATCGGGAATATTGACAAGTGACCACATTTACGGTAAACACATTGGGCATCGATGTTGTAGCGATGACAGGCGTTATTTATCGACTGTTTACACTACATCTCTAGTCGAGACACGGAGATATGGTTACATGTACTCCTAAAGAGAAGCCAGCGTATCCAGAAACTGGTAAAAACAGTAAAAACATCTACTGGTAAAACATATACTGGTAAAACATGAACAGCAACAAAACGCGTTCCTCGCGGCCTCAGTACGCCGTGGACGAGACTGGGTGAAATTAGTTTCCAGACTTGGACTCGAGAATTGTCCCGGGAAATGTCTTCAAGTCGTCACAGTCTTTGGATTTTGTAAAGTCAAACACTCAAGTCTCATGGCTAGGAAATGCTCTTGAAAATGTCAAAAATCACTGTGTTACTTACAATTAAGTGTCTGACCAGTTCTCTTCACTACAAAACACACACACACAAGGCAGGAGTTTTGTCGGCGAGTAAACGCGAACACGCCTCTGGGCGGTATTACCGTTCTGTGTGACTTTTGCACGGCGGAGAGACTGTAAAACCCCACCACGGGTTACATGGGTATGACAAGTCGCTGAATAAATCCACGCAAGATTATAATCGGTGCCTCTCTTTGAACTATATCAGGAGGCGTTCAGTCGAGTTATACAGTTCGTGAGTACAAATACAGAACACGAAACGAAATGTACGCTACAAATGACCTGGCTATTGCGCACTGTCAGAAGCGGCGTCTGATCGCAGTCAAAAGCCGATGAAACTGAACCCAGTCAAGAAATGCCGACAATAGGCTCATGAATAAAACAGTATATGCTTGCTTTGCTGACGTTATTGTCGCAACTCTAAGCCAATCAAAAACAGAATACACTGTTGTGGGCGGTACAATAGGCCCCAGTCTAAGTAAACGTATACAATTACTGGCCAAGTCACGGAACAGCGTGATAAGCAATCCACACTAAGGGCCGTTAGATAACTTCTCGACTAATCAGCGGATTGGATTTAAAGATCATGGTAAACATTGTAGCCATTATTTACCTATCTCCCGGTCCCCTCCAAGCCAGCAACCAGGAAACAATCCCTGAAATATCTCACTTGTACAACCTACACGCACATCTAACATCATGTTTGCGGTATTAGTCTTGATTGGAAGTACTATAACATTAACATAACGGGAATTTCACGGTAACAGATCCAGTTTCGAGCTTCCGTTACAAACAGCTAACCATTTCCGGATTTATAGAGATCTATGATGACTGAAGATGCGATGACTGAAATATCTCAGTGTTGGTGACCTGTGTTTCGATGTGCCATTCAATGCACGTACTTACATCCGTGGACAATCTATAATTGGTGTGATACGATTTTTGAAACATTAACTTTGAAAATAGCTATGTTTTAAACCATTATATTGTAGTTTAAAGGGCGGCGGTCGTCGCGCAGCGCGTGTTTGAATTTCATGTAACAAACAATGTATTTTACACGCGTTGTATACATCGCTATGAGTCCCACATCGAACAGGACGCGGCGCGACGAACATCGCCCTTTAATACTTATGAGCACCTGGGTAAAGCCAATGTCCCACGCAAGGCTGCGAGTATGTACATAGAGTCTGACTGTACTAGCATACAAATACCTATGTAGTCTATACATTCACACATACGTGCAAGGATTTTCAGTAATTCAATCCTAGATATCAATGCCCATTCTGTATAGACACACAATGATAATGTGTTGATAAGAAAAAAACGTTTTTGGAATAACTATACTGTGTTGTTATAATCTAACAACTTTTACATATAATGTTTCTGTGGCATTATGGCATGCATAAGTTAAAAGCATGTGTTTGTCATTTTTTTTCTCCTCAGGATTTTTGTAATGATTTTAAAAAAATGAATGAAGAATCATAATATAATCACAAATTTAATGACAATTATTAATAAA